CCAAATGGAATCGATTACGTAATCGATTCCATTTGGGAATCGCCTCCCAGAACCACCTGGGCGTGACACTAGGCTACCAGAGTGGCCCGGGGTCACTTGCCCGGCCGGGCCAAAAAAAAGTCGCCATCGCCATCGCCATCCTTGTTCCCCCTCCCGCCATCGCCATCGTCATCCCTGTTCCCCCCCCTGCCATCGCCATCGCCATCGCTTTTCCCCCTTCTCACCGCCCGCGATTTGCGTCGCCCTCCCATCCAAGTGTCCCCGCGGTCGATTCCCGACTAGAATCGATTACGTAATCGATTCCAATCGGGAATCGATCGGAAACGCGCCTGGAGGGGGCAGTGATCCTGCATCATTGTCCCCTCCAGGCGCGTTTCCGATCGATTTCCGATTGGAATCGATTACGTAATCGATTCCAATCGGGAATCGATCGAAAACACGCCTGGAGGGGGCAGTGATCCTGCATCACTGCTCCCTCTAGGCGTGTTTCTGATGGATTCCCGATTGGAATCGATTACGTAATCGATTCCAACGTAATCGATTCCAATCGGGAATCGATCGGAAACGCGCCTGGAGGGGCAGTGATGCAGGGGGCAGTGATCTGCATCACTGCCCCCTCCAGGCGCGTTTCCAACCGATTTCCGATTGGAATCGATTACGTAATCGATTCCAATCGAGAATCGATCGAAAACGCGCCTGGACGGGGTAGTGATCTGCATCAATGCCCCCTCCAGGTGCGTTTCCGATCGATTCCCGATTGGAATCGATTACGTAACCGATTCCAATTGGGAATCGACCCGTGAAGGCACCGGGACAGGGTAATGGCACAGATCACTTTCCCCTGCAGGTGTCTCCGCGAGTTGTTTCCTTTATGTTTTCAAGTTCCTTTTTTTCTCTGGGTTCTGTTTTTTTTTTTTCAGAATTGGCAAGGCTCCATCTGTTGGTGGGGAGCAACACCTGTTGTAAATGGGGTCTGGCGTCCCTGTGCAATACAATGTTACAGGTGTCCATGTCGGCTCATGGTTTGTTCTTGCGCATGCACAGCGGTCATTCTACTATTATCCCCGACCTCCAAACTTGTTCTGTTGACCCAGTGGGTGCCTCCGCTCCCCCTCCTCGCCGCCCCCGCTGCTCCCCCGCCTCCCTCTACTCTGTTGCCCTTCGTTGCTCCCCTCCCTCTGGGGGGCCAATGAACGAACCAATGAGCCAATCAGCCAAACTATCAGTCAATCAATCAATTACACCTCTCTCTTGCGTTCTTTTTTTTTTTTTTTTTTTTTTTAGTTGGCTGAGGCAGTTCTTTCTATGTTTGTTTCTTTTTGTAGATTCGTTCCTTTTGCCTCAGCAGATTGCCCGACTGGTTGTCTGCTTGGTGCAGTTGCCGTCTGTTTTCTTTTGCGAAACGCTTATTTGTTTCTCTTTCTCCTTGGCAGGTGTTCTGCAATACGCTAGGTGCCTACGTCGCCTTCTACTACACCACTTTCATGACAAACCGGCAGATTTCTGGGGGTGTTCAGTCTTCGCCCCTCCTTCCTGTGTCTGGTGGTGGTGTCTTTCATCCTTCTGCGCAGACGGGTGCGCCTCGTAATGTGCTGCATCCTGTTGGCAGTGTTTTCCTGTCCTCTTCGCAAATGCCTGGTCCTGGTCTTGCTCCCGTACAGCAGACACCGGCGGTGTCCCAGGTGCGGTCTGCTGACACCGGAAGAGGACCTTCAAACAGGCAATCTCATGAGGGACCCTCGCGTCGGCAGCCCTCAGTGCTTCTCAATACAAGCATGGCTGCACCTAGGCGACACCCTGTGCAGTCCGTAGGACAGCAACAGCAGCAGCAGTCCCAAAAAAGAAAGAAAGTCATTGCTACCAGGCTACCTGTTGCAGACGACCGCACTCCAGAAAGGCGACACAAAAAGGCTCGCAAGGGAAGTGGGGGATCTAGTGGTAAGGGGAAGAGATCCGCAGACACTGCTACTGCTGCTGTGGATCTTGAACCAGAGTCCGCGGGAATGACGCCTCTTCAGAGGATGTGGAGCAGGCTTGTTACCTTGAATGTGAAGAAGGTAACTGAAGATATCTTGAGTTTGCCAATGTCTTGTATGAACCGACCTCCAGTGGACACTGCCGATGGGCGAAGATCAAGGGAGGTCAGATTCCATGGAGAGTACCATGTTAGGGTCCTCATGGCGTCTATGGAGCGGGCTCCCTGTGGGGACCACTTGCCTTGGGTGGGCATGATTGATCATGCCGAGTGCACAACCGTTGATTAGGTGGACCTTCAGAAACTTCGCTCAGGCGGCTACACCATCTGGATTTTGGGCGGCGGTCACTGTCGTGAGGCACGGAGCCGTTTGATAGTGAAGCACCCTCAGGTTGACTTCTACAAGAGGAATGTCTGCTATGTGTACGTGGGACTTACTGTGGAGGAATCCCTGCTGATTGGCCATGAGCACAACAATGCTGCTGGATATCACAAAAAGTTGACTTTCCTTCAGAGGATGCGCTGTTGGAGGGACGTCTTTGAGAGGATGGGGTGTGAGAAAACGAACGAGGCGAAAAAGGTATGCTTGGAGGCGCTCGGTATCCCAACATTTTCATGGAACCAAATTGGTCCCCTGGATCCTCAACTTCAGATTTGCATGAGAGGACCAGAGGTGTGGGGCTTGCTCTCTGACAATTTCACTCTGTGGGAGCAGGCCAAGATCAAAGATGTGAAGATGAAGAAGGGCGTGGGTGGCAAGCAGGCCAGGTCTCTTGAGGTTGCTGAGTCAAGTGCATCTGGCAGCGAGGTGGGGAAAGGGAAAAAATGCGAGGCAGGGAAAGGGAAAAAGGGTGGGAGGCTAGGGAAACGGAATACGAAGGATGTTTCCCAGGAACGCCTTGCTCTCATGGCGCTCAATCCTCTGATGTACGTGTCTGAGAAAAATGAGATAGTAAGTGAGTCTGCATATATGCCTTACAAACCTCTGCTGGGGATGGCTGGGCTTGATGATACTTTGGTGATCCCTGTTCTCACAGAAGTTAAGTGCGGGGTCCTGTCGCTTGACGAGATGAACAACAAGTTCACGCTTCTCAAGATTCATCAGAGGACAGCGACTGCTTTCGTGGAAGGGGTCGGGGCAGACAGTTGGGAGGCTGCCAAAGAGGAGTTCCCGGTGCATACGCAGGAGGCTATGCTGTCGCAGTACTATGGGTTGTATGAGAGGAATGTCAAGGAGACTCCTATTGCTATGCAGGTGTACATTGCCAAGGCCCTCAACTAAGGGACAAGTTGCGCCTTTCACAGCAAGAGGAGCAAACTGCAGCAACACAAGATCCTGAGGGCCTCCTGACAAACTGGACTGCTTTCGAGGGGGAGGGCTACAAGGGAACCGTGAAGGTGGCGCACTGTGACATGCTTCAGCTACCTGAGAAAGTGCAGGACAGACTCCCCTTCACCTTGTGCATTATGGACTTCCCTTGCGGCTACAACGCAAAGGGTTCTGTGAATGATGGGGAGCCATTCAGTAAGCCTCAGATAGAGGGCAGCATTGCGAGCTTCAAGAAGATCACATGTGCACCCTATTGGGTCATTGCTGGATTCTGCTCATCTGACATGCTCAGTGATGTGAAATCCGCATTCTCAAGTGCTTGCAATTGTGGGGTGGAGGTGGGCATTTGGGTGGCTCCCAACGTTTCTACTTCTGCAGGTCTCAAGCCCACTACCTGCCGGCAGCATTGTGTTATTGGTTTTCATAGTGAGAGCGACTGCAGGGAGCCCATTCAGTTTCAGTTCAGCGACTCTGACACCTGGATGACCTGCTGGAGTCACAATACGGTGGTGAGGAAGTACACTTTTGCTGCAGACAACGAGATTATGTGCCCCTACCAGAAACCCATTTCTTTGTATGAGTGGTTGATCAAGAAGTTTTCTGACCCGAATGACTCATACATAGTATATGCTTTCTCATGATCAAGGACTGGAGTCATTGCAGCACTGTTGTCCAAGAGACATGTGTTGGTCGTTGAGAACGACCTGCGTTGTGTGAGGGGGATCAGGGTCGTTGGCAGGGAGAGGCTTCGTTGAGAATGTCGCCAAGGAGATCGATACCCAGGGCCGCACAGTGGCAGAGGGTTGGCGGCACGCCTGAGGCTTTAAGGCATGCATGAGTTAATGCGGACCCTCCACTCGGTCCACGTAGATTTCATTGAATTGGTTGTGGTGTGCTTCCTTTGCTATTGAGATACCAAGTCCACCTTCTCTTCATGGTTTGCTTGGATGATTGTTGGCGCTCTGCATGATTGTTGGGACTTGCAGCATGGGCGGCTTATTGCACGTCGTACTTGCAATGAACTGAAAATTGGCAGCTCGATCAGCTCATCTGATTAATTAGTGTGTTGCTTGCTTGTGGGGCACCCTAATCCAAGTGTTGTCAATTGGGAATTGGTTTCTTTGCTCTTCTGTCCTTTCTAGAGTCCGACCACTTTTTGTTTCTTTTATGTTCTCGCGGTTGTGTTGCTTGACGACCTCAAATTTTCCGCAAAACTATTATGGTATTGAGGTCGTTTCTTCAGGTGCCTTCAACTTTTTTTAATAAACCTGTTTCCTGCTTTGTTGCCAAGGTTAATGGATCGCTGGGCTAACTGTGTTCTCGAAAAAAACATTTTTTTGTGGTCTTGTTGTACCACTTAAACCTGAGGTCAAAATCTTATCGTAAAAACTAGTTTTCCAAAAAACGTATAGCATAATTTGGCAAACTGGACTTTCGTTTCGGTCCACTTTTTACGAAGTGCATGTTATATGTCCCCTGCAGTCATGACAGCGAGGCCTTTCTCAGCTAGCGGCCGAAACTGCGACCTCAGCCTCAACCTCAGGCGGTTGGGCAGTGGCCGTGAAGTCCCAAAATGTTTTTCATACCCAAAAAATATGAGGAAAAACAATCGTTCAAAAATAATAATAATAATAATAATAATAACAAATAAATAAATATATATATATATATTCATGGTTACCCAGCCGAATGCTCAGGGGCCCCTAAGCTGACCCCCGAACGTTTGGGCGTTCGAGGTTCTGTTCACGGTCCGAACCTGAAGGGGTTCAGCCCCTTCCAAGATTTATTTCGAGACCTAAAATTATTTTTGTTTTGAGTTTTTTTTTGTGAGTTCTGTAAGACGAGCTCTACATACATATAAAGTTTCAAGGCATTTTTCCAAGCCAAAAATAAATGCAAAATCGTCAAAGACGGCGATGTCACAACATGCTCGGCCACTCAATTTCGTTTTTCTTCACTTCTCACTTTTTGCTTTGATTTTATTTTGGTGCCTCAAATATTTTATTGTTAAAAAAAAAAAAAAACAATGAGCTCAAGATTATGTGAAATACACATCTAAAGATTTTCAGGGCATTTGGCTATCCCAGAGGAAAATGAAAAATCGCCAAAGATCACGGTGTCGAATTTTCTTATTTTTTTTTTAGATCCGCGTTCGACCCGAACGGCCGAACGTTCGGCAGGTTCGGGTTCAGGAGTTCGGCTGAACTCGAACGTCGGCAACCCTATATATATATATATATATATATATATATATATATATATATATATATATATATATATATATATATATATA